GATGAACGCATTCTAGGTATGGACCAGAAAAGGGGCTTTTTGTAGAGCTTTCCTTATGGATCTAAGCAATATCGCAAGGCTTTGTTTCGCAGTTTGTGCCATTCTTTCTTGTCCGTTGGGAGCTGTTCGGAAGATAGAAATGCAGTGATGGGGTCTATCCAACTTGGACCTGATTCTATGACATTGATTTGAATTGACTCTGAGGGGGCAATGCTCGGCTCAGGGATGAATCCTACTTCAATTATCCGTTTAATTTCTGAGTTGATAGCGGAGGCCAGGCAAGCCAGGGTGTCCGCATGTGTTCTGATCCCGGGTTATTTGATTTAATTCATGATGGTTGAATTTTGTCAGCAAAGAATTTGTCGTTTTCATGTAAGTTGCCATACAGTCATTTTTTGCTGCGTATTCTTGTTTCAATTGGTTGATGACTAGTTTTGAGTTGCAGAAGATAAGCAGACGCCGAGCACCAAGAAGAAGTGCATTTCGTAAGCCGGTCAACAATGCTTCGTATTCGGTTTCATTGTTCGATGCTTTGAAACCCAGTTTGACAGCCTGCTCGATTATTGCCCCGTCGGGAGCCATGATCACTACACCCGCCCCACTGCCATATTAGTTGGATGATTCATCACAATACAACTGCCAAATGTCCCCAATGTAAATTCTCTAGTTCGGCTTAGGTTGAATTTGATCAGACTTGAAGTTGGCGAGACATCCGGTGAATTCGGCCACAAAGTTAGTGAGCACTTGCCCCTTGATTGAGGTTCTGGGTAGAAATTGAAAGGCGCCCTGATGTTTCTGCACTACGGAGTACTGACCGGAGGGGGTAGTCCGTCAGTACCGCAATGGTATACCCCTGAAAGTAATGCATTAGTTTTCTTGTTGCCATGACGAGAGCAAGGGTGAGTTTTTCCAACGGAAGGTAACGTGTTTCAGCGTCAACTATTGCTTTGCTCACATAATAAACTGGCGCTGTTCCCCTAGTTCTTCCTTTAATAGTACGGCGCTGACAGCCCGGTCGGAAACTACCAAATATAAAATGAGCGGATCACCTACCAAAGGTGTTGTCAAGAGTGGAACTGATCGGAGGTAAGTCTTCAAGCCATCCAAAGCGGCTTCGCACTCGGGAGTCCATTCAAAAGCTTTACCTTGCCAAAGGGTATAAAAGAATTGTTGGCAGCGATCTGTGGAACAACTGATGAACCTGTTTAGTGCGGCGACCATTCCCATAAGCTTCTGGACCTCCTTGACCGACCGAGGAGAGCCAAGTTCTAGAATTGCTGTGATTTGCCTCGGGTTGGCTTCGATTCCGCGGTGATTAACAATGTAGCCAATGAATTTGCCGGATCCAATGCCAAAGGCACATTTGGAAGCGTTCAGCTTCATTTTATATTTGCGAAGAATGCTGAATGTCTTTTCCAGATCGGCTAGATGGGTTTGCTCTTCTTTGGACTTGACCACTATATCATCGATGTATACTTTCATAGTACGGCCGAGTTGCTCCTTGAACATGGCAGTGACTAGTCTTTGGTAGGTTGCCCCGCATTCTTCAGTCCGAAAGGCATAACCTTATAGCAATCGGTTCCTCTTGGGGTGAGGAATGCAGTTTTGTCTTAGTCCTCCGGATGCATGGCAATTTAATGGTAGCCTCTGTATGCATCTAGGAAGCTCATATGTTGATGATATGCCGTTGCATCTACGAGCTGGTCTATTCTAGGGAGGGAAAAGCAATCCTCGGGACAAGCTTTGTTTAAGTTCGTGAAATCCACACAAATACGCCATGTTCCGTTTTTCTTCTTTACAACCACAGTATTCGATAGCCATGTAGGATAGGTCACTTCGCGGATTGCCCCGGCATCAAGCAACCGGTCAACTTCTTCGACAACTGCAGCAGTGTGTTCCGCGGCTGAACGCCAGCTTTTCTGGATAATCGGCTTACATTTGGGATCAACGTTTTAGCGATGCTGGGACACAGTTGGATCCACCCCCGGCATCTCATAAGGTGACCATGCAAATACATCAAGGTTGTCGAGTAAGAAGGAAATTAGCTCTTACCTGTCGACTTTATTCAGGGAAGCACCGACCATGAAGAACTTGTTAGGACTCCCGTCAATTTCAACCCGATCCAGGGCTCCGGTTGCCTTTTCACTTGGGAGCCGCCCAACATCGTCGAGGCCCTCCCGATCCGGCACCTTAATTAAATTCACTTCCAGCTCTCTTGGTGTCTTTGCGGCATGAAGATAGCATGCCTGCGTTGATTTCTGGGAACCTCGAATTTGCTCAATACCGCATTCATTCGAAAAATGAAGTAGTTAATGATAGGTGCTTGGCACGGCCTACATAGTGTGCAGCCAAGTTCGTCCCATGATGAGATTATACGGCGAAGGAAGCTTGACGACCAAAAATTCTATATCCACTGATCGGGAGCCTGTCCGAACTGTTAGTGTGATTTTGCCTAACGGATATTCTGGATTAGCGTTGAAGCTGAATAACAGATAATAAGCTGGAGACAGGTCCGACTCAGTGAAGCCGAGTTTGACGAAGGTCTTGCAGTTCATAACTTCCGAAGTACTTCCCTGGTCAATGAGGACACGTTCAACGGTGAATCGATTTATGTGTAATTCGATGACCAAGGGATTATTGTGGGGGAGCGTTACGCCGACCAAATTAGAATCATCGAAAGTAATACTCGCAGCTTCATGGGGCCGTTTCGCTGGTGTGATTTGCTTTTGGTGGTTAGGATGCGACTGAATTGTATGTATAACGGATGCCGTCGGCAAGCTGTATATCATATGGATTATACCAAGTGGAGGTGAATCCTGCTGTAAAACAACTATTTTGGTTGAGTTATTCTTTCTAGGAATGGCAACGGGGTGGGGCGGGGCGGGGCCGAGGACTACCCCCCCGTCCCCGATCCCCAAAAATAAAAAAATCCCTGTTCCTACCCAAATCCCCGGCGGGGAACACATCACCTCTCCCGCCCTCGCCCCCCAATGGGGATCAGGTTTCCCTGACCCCAAAAAATCCTCGACAGATTTGTTCAACACACACACACACACACACACACACACATACACACACACACAAGAGCAACAAAAAAAAAATCTGTATATGGATAGAATTGTTCAACGACAACAGATCTAGAACAACAAATTTGTTCATCAACAACAGATTTGGACAGATTTGTTCATCAACAACAAATTTGGACAGATTTGTTCATCAACAACAGAATTGGACAGATTTGTGTATATGGACAGATTTGTTCATCAACAACAATCAACAAAAAATTTAATATATATATATATGAACAACAATCATCAACAACTTAAAAAAAATATATGTATATGTTCATCAACAATAGATTTGTTCATTATACACACACACATACACACACACACACACACACACATATACAATCAAGATGGAACTTCAACAACAGTTTTGTTCTTATACACACACACACACACACACATATATATATACAATCAAGATGGAACTTGTGTGAAAGTAATATATATATATATATATATATATAGAGAGAGAGAGAGAGAGAGTTGGGCGTTGATTCCTTCATCGGTACCGACGAGTCCATTGATGAAGACATCGGACCATGATTTGTTCAGATCGGTGGCTTCACGGTTCACGGACCACGATCTGTTCAGATCAGTGGCTTCACGGTCCTAGTCATGGTCGTGGCTTCACGGGCACGGCCCTGGTCCTAGTCCTGTTCAGATCGGTGGCAATTGAGGGCTTTACAGACGGACCACGGTTTACGATCTGTTTAGATCGGTGGTGGTGGTGGATCTGGATGATGTTGATGATGATAAGAAGTGAGAGAATGAGAGAGATGAGAGAGATCTGAGTGAGTGAGGGAATGAGAGAGAGATGAAAGAAGCAGTGCAGTGACACTCAGAGAGATTTAAGTCAGTAAGTGAGGGAGAAAGAATTGAGACACGCGGTGATACTGAGAGAGAGAAATGTGAAAGTAAGAGAAGGTTTGGTTTATATATATATAAAGAGGTAAAATAGTAATTTTACTTTGGGGATAAACGGGGACGGGGCTGGCCCGTCCCCGATCTAAAACTGATCAGGGATTGATTTTTGAACACCATCCCCGTTCCATTAGGGATATTTTTCAAGAAAAAATCGCTTAAAGTGGGGTCAGGGGTTTGGGTCCCTGTCAGGCCGGGTTCAAATTGCCATCCCTACTCTGGTATTAATAAAAGCACATCTTCTTCTTACTTGATTGAGTCTTCAAATTTATGGCATGGTAGTCTTGGACATGTTAATTATGGATCTTTGCGTAGATTAATTAATATGGAACGGTTATTCACCGAAAAATATCCCCTGTGGTCCGGGGATGGTATTCAAAAATTCATCCCCGAAGATATCCGGGCCGGGGACGGGGATATGTGTTTCAGAACCGGACCCGGCCCCACCCCGCAAGGTCCCCGAGTAAAATGACCCTTTGGTCCCTGGATATATATATATATATATGCATCTGCTTGTTTTGTTAGGGTTTGACAGAAAACATTTCAAAGGAAGCCTCTCACTCTCACTCTTACACAACACACGCCGCTCCTCTCTCTCTCTCTCTCTCTCTCTCTCGTCTGTCCCTCTCTGTTTCATTTGTCACCACCGCGCCTCCCTCCATCACCGGCGATCCTTCCTCCGTCACCGACGATCCTCCCTTCGTCACCACCACGCCTCCCATCTCTGTTTAGGTGTCTCTCTCTCTCTCTCTCTCTCTCTCTCTCTCTCCATTGTTCTCTTCGATGAACAAGGGACTATCAGCAGGGGTCTCTTCTCGTTGTCGATCGGTTTCTCACACAGTCGACATCCTACCCCCCTCTTTCTCTCTATCTCTTTCATCTCTCTCCGGTGAATATCAGTTGACGAGGATCTAACATCTAACATTATATCAATTGTCGATCAGGAATTGAAAATTTTAATATTTAGAGTCTTTTTGGTGAGAAATTATTTTGTCACTAATTTTGGAGAGAGAAATCTCTCTACTAAAGTTGTTAGTTAACACTTTTTGCCTCATGTCCATCACTTTTTTCCTAGTACAACTCTTATGGTGATCATGCAAATGCCTAGTTCCATTTTTTGAATCACCTCCAAGATGCTTATTACAATAATTACATATTGCCTTCCACACCCCATTGACTTGTTGTTTTTTAAAATGTTCCCACACAATACTAGGTTTTCTTTTAGTTCCTCCACAAGTAGTATTAGATTCTTCTAAATCAATAACATGTTGATTAGAGAGGGGAGACGGTGAGTTCGTAGGTGTGTTCGTAGCTGGCGATGAATGTTGTGACGCGTCACTCTCAAATGGTACTTGAGAGTTAACGGGTGCTTCAGAGTTAACTGGTGCTTCAGAGTTAACATCTGACATTTTTAACCTTTATAAAAATAATATGGATTGAATTAATATAAATAAATTAAGTACTCATGATCTTTTAAAAAAATTATGACATGATTGAAACAATTAGAAGATGCATTACAGAAGATTTATGATATAATAAGGAATTCCAAATCGACTTTGGTGATTGCAAAAGGAAGTTTATAAACTACTTGTGATCTTGTGATCTTTATAAACTACTTGTGATCTTTATGTTGGAGACTGGAGATTTATAAACTACTTGTGACAATCAGTTTTCTTAGTGGACTAGACAAGTTGTATTAGTGATAATATGAAAAACAAACATATTAATCTTTGCCTTAAAAACAAGTTGGGATTCAGAAGCTTTCACTAGTATAGCTTAAAAAACTGTTTCATGTCCTCCTCAACCTCTCTGTCTTTATGAATAATTGACCCAAAATATGAAAAAAGATCACTCATGTATTTCATGCTCATCAAGTTATACTCTACTTTCATCCCTGTCTATTTCTACTTCTGCTAAATTTAATACAACAAAATTGATGCAACTTTGAATATCACCTTTGTTCTTATCAGTTGGAACTAATGTATTTTTATCCATTCATCAACCATTTTCTTAGAATTCAAGATCTTATTAAGCAAATTGGTCAACCAAAATGTTCCATCATCACCCAAACACTCCCTAACTTCAATGACAATTCCATCTGGTTCTATAGCTTTTCTTACTTTAATCTTCCTCATAGTCATAGCCTCCTTTACCTTATGAAGGAATCTATAATTAATATTACTATTAAAATTAACAAGTTCTAAAGTCTATGTTTCTTTCAAAAGGCTTTATTTAAATAGACAGATTATGAGGTATATTTTAATAGACAGATTAATAGACAGATTATAAGATCATCATCTTAAGAGACAGATTATCAATAATATAAACAGATTATCAACAGATCAAACCTGATGTGAAAGATAATGATCAACAGATTATCAATAATTCACAAGCACCGATTATCAGGGTCTGGAGGTAGATCTGCATAAAAAATACAACTGATTATCAATATAAAATAAATAAATTTAGAGACAGAAAAAAAAAAAAAGAACTATATTGTATTTTACAGATCTATACTCAGATCTAAACACTCAGATATATATATATATATATATATATAATATACATATATGTAAACCTAGATCGAAATCCCTAGAGAGAGAGAGAGAGAGAGAGAGATAGATACCTAAACAGAGATGGGAGGCGCGGTGGTGACGGAGGGAGGATCGTCGGTGACGGAGGAAGGATCGCCGGTGACGGAGGGAGGCGCGGCGGTGACAAATGAAAGAGAGAGGGACAGACGAGAGAGAGAGAGAGAGAGAGGAGTGGCGTGTGTTGTGTGAGTGTGAGAGTGAGAGGCTTCCTTTGAAATTGAGTGTCTGTCAAACCCTAACAAAACAAGCAGATGCATATATATATCCAGGGACCAAAGGGTCATTTTACGTCGGGGACCATGCGGGGCTGGGCCGGGTCCGGTTCTGAAACACATATCCCCGTCCCCGGCCCGGATATCATCGGGGATGAATTTTTGAATACCATCCCCGGACCACAGGGAATATTTTTCGGTGAATAACCGCTGAATTCGGGGTCGGGGGGTCGGGTCACCGTCGGGCCGGTTTCAGATTGCCATCTCTAGTTCTTTCAGACGTGTTGCTTAAACTGACCGTCTTGTACCAACTCCTCAAGGTGATCCTTTAACTCATAACAACTGTCGGTATCATGACCGTGGTCTTTGCGATATTCACACCGCCTATCCTGTCTCCTCGTGTCGGGAGGTCCCACCATCTTGGGTGGCCATTTAAAGAACGGAAGGTGCTAAACTTTAGACATAATCATGCTGATCGGCTCCGACAACTCCATATATTTCTTGTCTACGTGCCTTATGTGCCTGCTATCCACTTGAAGTTGTTCATTAGCTTAGTGTGAACATTGGTCATTTGATCGGCGCGAATCTCATCTTTTGTCTTGTCTAGTCTGATTCCGTGGTTCAGGGCTCTGCGACGGTACATAATTTATCGGCGGAACGATTTCAGACGTGGCCGTCTTATTGACCTTGTGCCCGGTTTTGACCCGCAGGGCGTCATCTTCCACTTTGCAGTATTCCTTGACTTTCTTCATTAGCGACCAGATTGTTTTGGGGGGCCTTCTAGTCAAGGAGCTGCGGAGGGCACTATCGGGATGCAATCCCATTTTAAAGGCCGTAATGGCCATGGAGTCATTGAAGGCATCATCTACTAGATTAAAGCATTCTCAATAGCGCACCGAATACATACGTAGGGTTTCCCTTAGTTGAATTTGCATTGCCCAGAGAGAATCGGCCTGCTTCGGCTGGACCTTATTGGTGATGAACCTTGCCCTGAAGAATTTTTGGAGTTGACGGAAGCTCTTAATCGATGCCGGTTTCAATTTATAATACCATATGACGGCCAACGGTCCCAAACTGCTTGGGAATATTCGACACATGAGGGCCTCGTCGTCTGTATGAAGCGTCATGGCTTGCTTATAATGACGAATGTGATCAGTGGGGTCCGATTTTCCATCGTATAGGGTGAACGATGGAGCTTTGAACTTTTTGGGTAGCACTGCCCGTGCGATCCGTCGCACAAAGGGGTCATGTTGATCTTCTTCGTCTGAATCATTTATTCTTCGCTTATTCCGTGCATGAGGACTGCCTTCGGATGAACTGGAGACTTCGATTCGTCCCTTATTTCTGGATTCTGGGGATGATGAGTTAGAATCACTGCCACTATCATGTTGCCGAACTTGAGGTCCTCGACTATCCTTTCTCAGAGGTTGTACCAGATCCTGGCGCGCGGCCTGTTGGGATTTTGCCACCTCCAAGGCCAAATCCTGTCGGAGGCGCTCGTTCTCAGCCATTATGTTTTCCAACCTCTGTTCGTTTTGCTTCACCTGATCCATAATCGCTTGCATTGTCTCATGGGCTGAAGTCGAAGGTGAGGCTTGGGCAACTGAGTCGAAGTTCAAGGCCCTTCGTGTGGTAATGTTCTCTAGCCCAAGCATATTGCTTGGAGTGGTATCATCTCGTGGCGTAAGGTCATCAGGGACTATTGGAGGATTTTCCGTCACGCCCGCCATGGATGTGCTGGAGTATTCCCACAGACGGCGCCAATTATGGAGAAGTGGTTTGGAAATACTCTTTTAATCCTGTAGGACGCTCTCGATCCTCAGCTAGTCACCTAAAAAGGAATGAACACTCCGGTCGGGGGTGCCGGAATTAGCACTCCGACGGATAAGTCAGTGTATACTCTCTTGGTAGCTTGTATCTCAAGTTAATCTTACTTGTTCTCACCTCCCTATCTTTGGCTGATGTTCCTTTATTTATATTTTTCTTTTGGGCCTCAGGGTCGGGCCCACCCTCAATCCATTGCACGTTATTTATACGGCTTTTATTCAACTGGTTCTTCGGCCGATTAGTCTATTCGGTCTTGCGATCGTCCAGGATGGAGCCGAATACAAATTCCGTCCTTGACTGTCCTCATACCGTCATTCGACTTTATTGCACGTATTCCAACAATATCCTGCTCCCACAGTCTTCTATAGAAGTAACTCTAGCCATATAACTGTCCTCGACTCTTCTTTAGATTCACAACAGATTTTTTCCCCTCTCTTTTATTCTTGATGAGTTTTGGCTTTTGGTCTAAAAACTTGGATTTTGATTAAATTGTCAAATGGTGCATGATGCGCTGAACGCTTTCAATGTTTGCATATATCTTCAAAGCTTGTGAATTGGGGTTGATAATTTGAAATGAGCTCCTCTCAAGTTGGAACCATTTATGCCACTACATATTTTAAGGAAAAAATAAATAAAATAAAATAAAATAAGTTTGGTTTTAACGTCGCATTTTAGGTTCAAACAATTTTTTTTTGTGACTTGCTTTAAAATTTGATTTAAAAAAATGAAAAAAATGAAAAAAAAAAGTGTACATTGTGTATTTGGGTTAACATTGGATGGTGGAGCAATTACTAGTAGTGATCATGGACTTAGTGGGCAGTCTTTCAAGAGGAAGTAGGAACAAAGTGGAAGTCTTTCTCTGTCGAGAGAAGGTTAGAAGGGCTTATAAGCACGTGATAACTTGAAGAAGGGGTAGTTCAACAGACAAAAGTAAAGGTCTAATGTGATTTGAAGGCCTAGAAGCCAGGAAGCAATTGCAGCAGTTACATAGCAGCAGTTGCAGATTGAGAAGATCATGGGGGTGTGAGAAAAAAGAAGTATAAAGGCCATAAATTTGCAAAGAGAGGGAACATCAACAACAATACAACAACTTAGTTTTGGACTTAGGAGTAGTTTCAATTCTAATTTAGGAGCAGTTCGTTCGATTATAACTTGTACTTTTTTTAGTGAACTTCAGTAATCAATCTAAAATTACTTCTGTTTATTCAAATCTACTTTGTTGCCATTGATCCAAAGAAGTCCGCATTCTTTTGAGGCATTCGAACTAAAACCACAATTGCTTGATTGTTCCTGATTAAATTGTTTAGTTTGAATTATTGTTTGGTTGCTGTCGATCCAACCCCAACATAATTTTTATTAACAACAGCTTAAATCTCCCCATGATGAATCTATTGTTAAAATTGGCTCAAAATTTCCTTTTTGAGGAGGCATTAGGTTTTTTCCCCCTCTTTAATTAATGGATTCTATATCTATTTTTTATACATTTCTATATTACATAATAGAAACTAATTCAGTAAGTTAAGTTTAACTAATTAATTAGATTTTTAATCCATTCTACTTACAAATTCTAATTAATAAGTATGAAAATATTAATGGACTAACAAGGCGAGGACCAACGGGAAAAATAAAATAAAAAGAAGGAAACCAGATTTTTTCTTATTAGTTCATTTTGTATTCTTGTAGAGGTGTGTCAGTAAAAATTATGCTAGGGTTGGATCGACAGCAACCAAGCAGTAATTCAAACTAAACAACATAAACAGGAGCAATCAAACAATTGTGGTTTTGGTTCGAATGCCTCAAAAGGATGAGGACTTCTTTGGATTAACTGATGGTAACAAAATAAACAAGCAAAAAAACAAATTGCTTTATATCAACTGATGGTAACAAGGTAGATAATATAAACAAAAGTAATTTCAGATTGAAATCACCAAGGCTCATCCAGTTACAAAGTACAAACTACAGTAGAAGAAATTACTCCTAAGGTGCAATTTGAATTACTCTTAAGTCTAAAAAACTAAGATGTTGTGATGTTGTTGATGTCCTCTCTCTGTGTAAATTTCTGGCATTTATACTTCTTCTTCCCCATGACCCCATGATCTCCTCAATCTATAACTGTTGTTGTATAATTGCTACAACTGCTCCCTTACTTCCAAATCCTCAAACCACATCAAGCCTTCACTCCTACCTGTCAATTTTCACTTCTTTTAAGTTAACACATGGATAACAATTCTGGTTTAGACCCAACCCATTTGATATTCTGGATCTGAGTTTTGTTGTCTTATAAGATTGTTTATGTCTTATTTCTTTTTATTACTCATTGAGTTTGGTTATTGGAGTGCCTTGGTTGCGTTTGGAACAGGTCGGGAGTTAGTTTTTCAAAGTGGTTTCTACCTAGATTTTGGCTTCTTCGCTCAAGCAGCCTTTAAGAACTCTTAGTACTTTTGCAGGCTTGCAAAGATACTAGGAGTTAGCATTCTATGCTCAAGCGGTTATTCTTGCGCTCGAGTGATGTTGGCTTGAGCGGCTTTTCTTGAGCTCGAGCTATGGTCCTCTATCTGTAACACTTCTAGGAGTTTGTATTCTTCGCTTGAGTAGTAAACTTTTTCACTTAAGCAGTCTCACTTATTGTGTCCGGTCGCTCGAGCGACACTTCTTGCTCTCAAGCAGTCTACGCGTATATTAGTCCGTAGAGTCACCTCTTTGGCTCACTTTTTCATATCTCTCTCTATCTTAACTTTCTAAAAACCCACATTCTCTCTACAAATACACCTAGATCCATCGATTTTTTCACCCGTGTCCCTTTGATAAAAAGGTAGAACACTCCGAGAGTTTCATTTTGATCGGAGCAAAGTTAGGTTTCAGCGTTGTTGAAGTTTCTCCATTCCTTCTCTTATCTTCTAAGCTTAAGGTAGGGATTTTCCGCATTTTCTTATGATTTTTAACTTAGTTATTTGCTATTTCCTAAAACAATATTGTGATTTGGGAATTTTTGAACAAATCTAGGGTTTTGGATTAAAAATCAGAAGAAGGGTTTTTAAATGGATTCTTGAAAATGGTTATGGGATTGGAAATGGGGTTAAGTTGTGATAAAATGGTTGGTTTTGAAACGTGGAATTGATTTTGGAAAAAAAAAGGGGTTTTTCCCTAAATATATCAAATGTTGATTTTGTATA